CACTTCAACCAAACACACGTAAATGTTAAACATCTCCAGTGAATTATCTTGTAATCCACTGCTCCATTTGTTAATGCTGTATTCCTAAGCAACATTTAGAGTCCTCTGGATTATTGCTTCCGTCTGTTTAAGTTCAATGATGCACTGTGAAAAACGATTAAACAACACACCATCACGCACACAAGTCAAAAACCATCAGATTTCCTAAATCCTTTCTTTCAGTACTATGTATGATTTTTTTTATAGCTAAGGAAAAGCTCTAGTACAACGATTTAGGTTAAACTGTGGCCACACAATATCAATGTACCATAAGAAGAGGTGGCTTTAATTTGCTCTCTAGCATAGACTTCAGGAGAGAGGTCCATGAAGACAGTAGCCAAGTGGACTGGAATTGATCCGATTCCCTCACATGAGTGCTCCTCTTATTACCAAGGTCCAGAAGCGCGCCAAAAGAGACAGTTTGGTACACTACAATAGTAAGATTCATTCTGCAGACACAAATCAAATTACACCGTTCAGACAATAGTGGGGTTCTGACAACCAAAGAAGTCTTATCCCGGAGACATCGTGATGACACCATCAAATACAATTAAGTATTTCTAGCAGAATTCATCTTTCTCTCGTGAAAAAAGTCAAGGGATGTTCACATACAAAATCCTTTTGACCATCATTATCTCTGTTTCCCTACTCCGGTAACAACTGTTGGGGAAAGCTTTCCAAGCATTTTAAATTTTTACGGAGTAGCGATTGTATTACTAAATCCTAGTTAGATGTGCTTCAAGTTAGCATTTCCTAACTTCTACAGGAAGACTAACAAGTAGAATATAAGTTTCTTTTCTTTTCCTAGGCACTATTTCTGCCATCCTACTGCACTTATTACAAATGTTGCCATGTCCTTCTCAATCATCTTTATTTTAACAGTTTCTCTATTTGTAGTGTTAGAACAACAAAATACAGAAGACAAGGAATATCAGCACTCAGCAGCACAGCGGAAATCTTTTTTTAAGTACTCTGTTTATTAAGTGTGCTGTCCCTCCCTTGTTAATCAAGTGTTGTTCTCATACTATTACATGATGTAGATAACAGTTGGCCTTAAAGTCCTCTTCCTTTATTTCTTCTAATTAACTAACAAAAAAGACTTTTCAAAGTATTTTTAAACAACCATGCCCATGGAACTGAACAGTTCTCCACTTGCATTTGAAGGCCAAATTATAACTAACTCAAGCTGTCATACTTCAAGATGTAGACTGGTATGAATAAGAACAAAACCTACTTCTTAATCTTTGTATATAAGAAGGTCTGCTATGCACCTACTGCCCTAAATGGAATAAATGCTTATTTTAATAAATGACAGTCTAGATATGAGAGAAATATTTAAGTATTTAAGGGAGTTGTATTAGATTTTGTACTGGGTGTACGTGACAGGTTTTGCCAGTGGGGGCCGCAGGGCCAGCCTCTGTGAGAAGAGGCTGGAGCTGCCCCATGCTGGACACAGCCAGTTCCATCCAGCTCCAACAGACCCACCACAGGGCACCAGCAGCCAAGCTGGTGGCCCCTCTGGGAAAACATACTTAAAAAGGGTAAAAAGCTGCCCAACAGTGAGGACTGAGGAAGAAACAGCCCTGCGAACATCAAGGTCAGAGAAGAGGCAGGAAGAGGAAGAGCTGCTCCAGGTGCTGGAGCAGACTACCCTTCAGCCCATGGAAGGAGCCACGGTGGAGTAGATGGATATCTCCTGACAGGAAATGCAGCTGGTGGAGAGCCAACACCAGATCAAATTTTTTCCTGAAGGACCACAGACTATGAGGAAAGCCCATGCTGGAGCAGGGCAACAGTGTGAGAAAGAAGGCGTGTCAGAGGGGAGCTGTTATAGACTAACCCAAATCCTATTCTGCATCCACCTGCATTGCTTAGAGTGAAAGAGGTAGAAGAACGACAAAGTTGAGCCTTGGGAAAAAGGACTAGGGGGAAGACGTTGGTTTTCTGTTCCTCACTATCTAACCTATTTTAACTGGCAATAAATTAATTTTTCTCAAGCCGAGTCTTTTGCCCGTGACAGTAGGTTAAGACTTGCTTAAAGTGAACTACTGACTGTGATTTCAGGTCTAAGCTGGGCTCTTCAATGAGTGAGTTCAGCACTGGTACACGTAAGTTAAGCAGGTTATACAATTTTGGCCACCAAAGTATGAGAATTTCCAGACAGCATTATGGCATTTTTACAGAAAATTAAAGTTCAGGTATTTTGCACTGTCATTGTGTTTGTGTAAATGAGTCACAAAAGTAATCAACCTTGAAAACATCTAACTTTTAAATCTTCAGGAAAACAAAGGCAACCACAAAATAAAAAATTTTAAAAAAATTCAACTGTAGTGGATACAGACTGCAAACTTCATAATAATAAATATTTGTAAGAATGGCTGGGAAAATATTTACTTCCTTCCATCATTATCAATTGCTCAGTTTTATTTAACAATCAGATTTAGCTCCACAGAACTAAATAAGGCAGTAATTACCACGAGACAATCTGTGCTCCGAAAGGTCAAGTAAACATTGTCAAGAACATAATTCAAATAGTCAGTGTTATTGAAGGGGACTTCAGTACATTCTGACATATTTATGGAAATTTAAGAAAAGAAGACAGGCAAACACATTTAAATGTCACTGTTTCTTCATGTCTTACAGGAATGCAGATATCGCATGGTTTGCATCCAAAATGAACCTCTATTTATTTTATATAGTGTTTCAATATAATGGTAGCTTTCACTTAAACAATGAGATTTTTGGATCTCTAAACAGAATAAACAAAATACAACAAACCCTGACCTACCTAAGTATTTCCTTAAACTAGATCATACCTACAAATAAGGAATATTTCCCTGAAGACTCTGGCAAGCATTACAGGAAGCTCTTAGCTCTGAATTCAGTAACTTTTCAGAAATTTCCTGAATAGGGAAGCACCCTAACATCCTTGCTTTTCAAAGAGCAATCAACCTTTTCACACAAGCTACATTTCACTTTAAAATTACTGTTTCCTGATGAGACACATTTAACAGGGGCAGATCATTCTTGTGTTAGTAAAGCTATGCAACCAGATCAACACTGAGACACATTTGACCCAGTGAATGCTCCTTCCACACAGAATACATAAGGCAGTAATATTTAGCTTAATCCTCTTATGCCAATATTTACAGATATTTAGGCCTGGATGCGACTTGTTCAAAATTCAGCTGCTAACACAGGATGCATATCCAGCAAATCTTTGAAGAGCAGACTGGACTTGTCAGAAATAGCTTTACGTATACTTTTAACCTGGCTTGAAATTGGGAATGGATTTCATGACTGCCTGCAGTCCCTTCTGGGACATTTTGTATCACAATAGATGATATATTCCAATGGCTTAAAAGAAACGGGGGGGGGGAATTTGGGGTTTTTTTAATGCTAATTTAGTCCTGAATTAGTACTTTATCTGTTTTAAACTTTCACGACTTTCATAAGAAGGGCTGCTAGATTAGGCTGTAACCATTATTTACAAAGAAAAAGAATAAAGTTATTTGGAAAAGGAATTACCAGTCAAGAGTTTGTACTCTCAAAAAGATTTAACCTATTTCTTTCTTTTCCAGGCTGAATTACAATATATTCATCCAAATAAAGGTTGGCAAAACTAGTCCAGGTAAGATCGAAATATCATCAAAACTAGTTAAAACAATAAAGCACACAAATATTGTGAAAATCAGAAGCTCTTGTCAAAACACTTCACAATTTTTGAAATGGTATGTAGCACAAAACAGAGACATTAACTAAGGTAATGACCAAGGTGATACAAATAAATGTTTCATCTTACTTGTCCAAGGCTGTACTGGTAGGCATGCTCCTTCCAAATCCTCGGACACCCATCTGACAAAAGTATGGAATGCAAGACAGATTGGCAGCAATTATAGCCAAAGAATCTGATGCGTTAACAAAGAAACCATTTTGGCCAAGGATCATGTAGCGGTCCTGAAGAAGAAAAGAAATTCAAAAGAGCATCTTAAATTCCATGTTTTAGGGAGCAGCAATTTCTTTTATTACATCCACTGTAGGCAGGAATGGGTTACTCATAACCCTCTTCAGGCAAAGTAATTTATTGGCATCATCCTGGTAGGTTTACAATGTCACTAACACACTATGACACCATCACACCCTCCAGCCTTGCAAATCAAAGCTCCAGATCAGTCTCTAGCTTCAGCCTCCTATATGACACTTCAGTAGGTCTGTTCCTGCCAGGGAATGCTTGTGTAGGAGAATCTTTTTGCCAATGACACGAACTACACAAGGAGTAGGAGTGTTTACTGACAACAGAAAACAGCTTCTGTTCTTCAGAACCTTTTCATCTTTCTCCCACCCTGATACCACAGAAAGTTGTTTCTGTAATACTTCGCTGTTTATAATGCTGATAATATGACATTAAAAAGAACAAAACAAACATCATGATTCAGTGCTTTATTTAGTTAAAAATCCCTCAATTCACAATGTTAACCAAAGAGGACTTAGCTTAATTACTACTTTCTGTGACAAGTCCATATGATTTATATATGCTGTCTCTTCCTAACCAGGGAATAAAAGTGTTAAACTAGTATGCAGTAAAACCAGCCTAACATTTAAAGAATTCTCATTCTGCATTCAAATCCAGCTTGATTCGCAGTCATCTGCAGAGATAAATTACAACATATGCGTCTGATTTATGGGTTGCAAATGCTATCAGCTGTACCTGAAAGTAATATCACTTGCAGCTTCGAGGGCTTACTGAAAAGCAAATAAATTATACTTACATGTCCCATATCTGACCCCAGACGAAACAACAACTATGGTAAAACCTCCAGACAGATCAAAATACTCACTCCATCAGCATCAAAAGCAGCTCCAAATCCATACTCGCCACCTCTCATAGCCTCCAGCAAGGCAGTTGCATACGTTAAATTGGGATCAGGAGGCTGTCCACCAAAATCTTCCAGAGGAATACAGTTTATGGCAGAATTTGCAGGAGCTCCCAATTCATCACACAGGATTCTTCTCACATACGGTCCCATAACTGCAAAAACAGATATCTGCCATGCAATCACAAAAGTGTATGCTTGACATTCAAATTTTTCACAGCACCATGGAGACTCAATATAAAATATATTTTCAGCAATTTTATACATCTGTCCTAGCAACCAAAACCAAATTTATTTCACAGAGGAGTACGTGATTGTCCCCCCAGTAAATAATCAATTGGCAGTTGTGGTGGTTTGGTGTCTGGCGGGGTTT